ATGTAGAGGAATCATGGTTGTGCTTGCAAAGGGAATCGTTGCAACTCAACCATAATCCTCACATGTAGCTACAGTTGTTTCCTTGTCTCAGCAAGCGAGAGTCTCATTAAATACATGAGTTGATTTGGTGTGTGGTGGTGATGTTTTGGTCGAGAAACTGGCAGAAAATCGTTTTAGAGGTTGCATGCATCCCTTTTATGTAGGGGAAGCATGGTTTTGCTTGCAAAGGGAATCGTTGCAGCCCAACCACAACCCTCAAATGAAGCTACAGTTGTTTCCTTGTCTCAGCAAGCGAGAGTCTCATTAAATATTACATGAGTTGGTTTGGAGTGTGGTGGTGATGTTTGACCGAGAAACTGGCAGGAGATCGTTTCAAAGGCTGCATGCATCATTTTCATGTAGAGGAATCATGGTTGTGTTTGCAAAGGGAATCGTTGCAGGTGTAGCCCTACCATAACCCTCACATGCAGCTACAGTTGTTTCCTTGTCCTAGCAAGCAAGAGTCTCATTAAATACACGAGTTGATTTGGTGTGTGGTAGTGATGTTTGACCGAGAAACTAGCAGGAAATTGTTTCAAAGGTTGCATGCATCATTTCCATGTAGAGGAATCATAGTGGTTTGTTTGTGAGAAGTGAGTTGGTTTGGTGTGTGGTAGTAGTGTTAGTCAAGAAACTAGCGGAGAGAGACGGGTTGAGAGAAACAAAGAGAATTACATAGTGAAAATTCATTCTCTTTCCACAATAATCAATTTTTAAATCATTTATTAATATTAAATCAATCATATATTTAATTGTTTATATTTGTTATATATGTTTTTAGTATTAATAATATGATTAATATATTTCTCGTCCAAAGAGAATCCATTTTCACCAAGTCTCTTGTTTTCAAATTTTTTTATTAATATTAAATTATAGTTACATTTAATTATTATTAAATAATAATTTAGATTTGTTATACATATATTAAATATTAATAATGTTATTATTATATTAATATTAATAAGAATTTTATTTATTAGTCTATTAATGATAAATTAATTATTTTATAATTATCAATTATTTAAAATATTTTATTTAATATGATTTTATAAGTTAATTGTAAAATATAATTATAAAATTTAGTGAAAATAATATATAAATTAGATAATCAAAGTCAAAAAATATATTAATAATATTATAAATATTAATTTAATTTTAAAAAAATCAATATTATAATAATCATAATAATAATATTGGTGTATTAGCACTTTAAACAAAATAATTAAAAAAACTAGTTGAAATAATAATATATAAATAAATAAGAATCTAAATTTATTATATTTATGATGTGTTTAGTTTTATATTTTTTTTACCTTATATAATTATTTTTGTATGAAATGTATTATAATAACTATTTTAAAAATTATATGAAAATGATTTTTAATTACTAGTTTATAATAATTTTAATGTGAAACAATTTAAAAAATGTGGGTATATATAATTCTTTTTAACTTTTTTATTTTAAATAATAACTTACATCTTATTTTAATATAATTTATCTTAATTATATTTTATGTTAAATTATATTTTTAAAACAAGGTAAAATTATAATCTTTCAATTTTATCAACTAAAATATTTTTTAATCTATTAAATCAATTATATCATTTACAATTTTATTTTATTTTCAATTTTTTCTTAATCTAACTATCCACTTTTATCTTTATTTTCCTTCAAATCTATTCGATTACACCCAACAAATTCATCTTTAAATCCAAAAACAATAACGTCAAGGCATATGTGAAAATAAGGTAATTAAATATCTTTTAGCACTCAGCTCAGCATACATATAAATCTCACTTATAACCTTATATTAAATATTTAAAAAGTTAGATTCACTGGTATTAAAAACATTTTATTTTACAATTTTTAAAATGCTTAATTAATAAAATATACGTTGTAAGAATCATGTACAGATATTCCATTCGTGTTAATTGAAGATATTTAAAGTCTTAATTGAAATAATTAATTAAAGAAAAATGTTAACTTAATTTGATTTAATAGATAAATTATAAAAGGTGTAATAATATGAAAATTAAGATTAAAATCAGTTTAAATCTTTGAACAAATCTATTATAATAATATGATTAATGTTGATTATTATAGTGTTATTTTTTTAAAATAGTTCGATCTTATATAATTTTATTTTTAAAATATATATCAATAACTAAGAAAAAGTATTCTTAACTTCTATTCTTATACTATATAAATTAAAACAAGCATCTTAATTGAGAACTAAGAATATATATTTTCCACATAAAACTTCATTTAAATTTTAAAAACTTACAAAATGGTTAATAAACCAACTTTGAAGAAAAAATATAAATAATTTAACCTTAAACTAAAGAAAATATTTAGATCACTCAACTAATAATAGTCATAACTTAAATACAAGATTTAGTTTAATCATTTTAAAATCAAGGTACTAATATGATTATATCACCACAATTAATCTAGCATATACAAAATATGTATATGAATACAATTCACTTTTAAGATCTACTAATCAATATTTTTCGAACATTTTAACAAAATCATATTTATTATATTCCATCGTAAATCTCTATCATTTTAAAAGGGATTATTTAATAAAAGAAAATTAATTAAATTAATATTTTTTAATGAATTGTATTTTAACAATAAAGTATTATATTATATTTCATATAATAACAAAATAAGAGGAAATATATTAGGTTCTCTCACAAGTTTTACAACAAGTGACTAATGGTCTATAAAATGATAAAATAGTCCATTCGTTTAGTTTTTGCATGTTCCATCCCATTTGCTAGGGCGGGTGGGTTGTTCCACTATAATTAAAAGGAACTATAAATTTTAATTTGTCTAGTTAAAAGAATTGATTGAGTTAACGAATCTCAATAATGTTGTATATATATTTTAGAAAATATATCTTAATTATATGAATAATTTAAAAATTTTATTTATGAATTGATATTTTTATTAGATAAATTAAAAAAAAGTTATATTTATATGTTAAAATGTCTAATTGTAATTAATAATTTCATTTGTTAATATTTAATTTAAATTATATTATTATAATATATTTACATATTTTAACTATATGACATACAAGATTTAATATTTTTAATTATAATTTTTTTATTTTAATATATAAGTAATTTTTTTAAGTGAGTTAGTCTGATTTGTTCTGTCTTGACTTGTGGGATTAGATCATTTTTAAAGGAAGTTGTTATTTTATTGTAAATCTCACATCTAAGTTATTTATAAATAGGGAAAGTTGCTTAAAATTTAAGAAAGTTGCTTAAAATTGGAAGTAAATTACTTTATATGCAACTCTTACCAAGGTTTAAACAACTTAACTTAACTATATCCATAATTAAATATTCAATTTTATTCCTAAACAATTTTTGTTAAAAACTCATTTTTAAACAAAACAAACAAAAATAGGCTAACAAACTAAAATTATTAATTTATTCCAACATTTTTAGGCAAATTAACATATCTATCATTCAAACCTAATTCATTTTCTCATCTACTACTATGTCATGTTGTAAATGAGACGTACGAAACTTCTAATAATCAATCTCATTATCTATTGGCTTACTTGAGAAGACTCAAACTTAATTTTTCCAAACATTCTCAAATTAACATAAAAAAAAGTCCTTAAAGATGAAAGAAAAAATATTAAATATTTTACTATATTACAATATAACTATGAATTAAAAGTTTCAACTAGTTGTCCATGAAAAAATTCAATAAAAAAATTTTTGGCAATAAAATTTGAAGCTTTGAAAAAAAAAATGTAATATGCTTGAATGGTAAGTATTTTTAAAGAATATTTATTAATTTATTAATATTCAAGTTTAACCGAAAGGAATATATACAGTTTCAATTCAACTTACTTTGTGTTGATTATGCTATGAATTTGATTTATCAACTAAAAAACTTTTGTGTTTTTTTTACCCTTATGTGCTAATGATGCTATACTCATTTTATACCATGCTCACAACAAAGTATTATTAGTATCTCAAAACTTTTCCCTCAATTTTAAAATTATTTTTTAGTCTCTCAATTTGAAAAGAGAATTAGCATCTTTAAAAAAAAACATTTCAAACAATGTTGAAATAACATTTTCAAAATTAAAAACGTGTTAATCAAGGAAATTGATTTTTATCACTGTGAACTTCAAAAAAAAAAAATTATCACTTTGAAGATTAAAAAATATTTTAAATTTGGACAACTAAAAACATTATTTTAAAATTTAAGATACTTGAAATAGCAAATTTGCATACAAAGGACTAAAAAACAACTTTCAAATTTGAGAAATAAAAAAAAAGTGATCTTAATTTTAAAAGCTGAAAATAATTTCATATATAAATTAAAATAAAATAGATTTTCAAATCATTATTTTAATCAGATGTGTCATTATTAATATATGTATAATTACATATCCAATTAATACTTAATCTCACTAAGGTTGGAATTAAAAAAAAATATGAATTTCAATGAAAAAATACAAATTTTTATTTGAAAAAGTAGAAAAAAGTTAAAATTCGAGAGATTAAAAATATATTTAAACTTAAAAAATAAAAAATAAAAAACTCATTTAACAAATAATTTCAATCAACAAACAAAATTAACAAAAGTCTATTTGACATAAATTAATTCTTCTCTAATTTAATATTCTTTCGTTAATATAATTTATTAACTTGTATATTTTATTTTTTGTATTTTTTTATATTAAATTTAATTTAAATTCTTGCATTAAAAAAATAACTAGTTACATTTCAAACTTAAAAAATATTATGAAATTTAAATTCCTTATATTTTCATGTACACCCTGCAATCATCTAGAAATAAATGAATGGGAAGTTCCAAATCCAGAGAGAGTAGGAATTTAGGCATGTCCATGGTGGATAGTTGAACTGAGTGAGAAGAACTAACTGAGAAGTAGCATAGCAGGGTTAAGTCAAACATCCACACAATGAGCTTGTCTCTTATTCAAGGTTATTCTTCTGCCGAAGACGAACAAGACCTCGAACCTTCCGACGACGATGCACCCGCAACCCCCGCCGCTGGGGGCCACCCTTCTCTCGGCGACAGATCTATCTTCGACCACCTTCCCAACCCTCCTTCTGCCTCGGATCTTCCTTCTGCGTTCGACGCTTTCTCTGAAGTAACCAACTTTCGCTCCCTCTCATCGCTTTTCAATTCTCGAATTTGCCCCTCCGTTGTTGAATCTGTTGTTGTTGTCTCCGTAACGGAGATTGCAGGACCACCCCAGTTTCTGAACAACAGCGTGGAAGAGTATAACAGCAACCCTTCGAGAGACGGTGATGAGCAACAAGGGAGGCATGGCAATAGGAGGCGCCGCAAGGACAAGAAAGATTTACCGGCAGGTATCTTTTTTCATCATTTTTTTTCCTTTTTATTGGGATTTTTATTTCATTGTTTGTTTTCTTTTGTTTCGCTAAAGAAGGAGCAGGGGAAATTTAATAGGATATAAGAACCCTTGTTCTTCTATGCTTTTTCCTCTAGGGGGTTTTTGCTTGCAGTATTATTTCTTGTCCTCAACTCTCAAAATGCTACCTTGTTTCTCAGTATGTTTGTTACCGAACTTTTGTACAGAAAACGGTTTGAAAACTGAAAACAGATTAAAACATAAGGTGGCATTTTGATGATTAAAACCTGAAAATAGAAAATGAAAATAAGAAATAAAAATGCAAGTAAATGTAATTTATAATTTCTAGACCAAGACAATATATTTAACCCAAGCTGGTGGCCTCCTATGGTGTAAAAGGGCATGTTTGGTTTGGAGGGTGAACTTTGTCTTGTGGTTAAGCAAAGGAAGAATTCCCTTTGAATTTGAGATAACTACTGGTCTAAATCTTTACTTTGTCAATGCTGTATAATGGTATTCATGGGGATGCTAGCACTGATTTTTTGGGTTGTTTCCTTGTATATTTAGACTTGTTATTTTGTAGTGTACAACTATCAAGAGTATTCAGTGGAATTGATGTGGCTGTTTAGATTTTCTTGCAGACATTTTTACTGGTTTGTGGTGTTGTTATTTTGTTACTTGTGCAAGTTCATTTGCTAGGCCTGATTTTGGGGTGGATTAAAAATAAGTAGAGGCCTCCTCTGTGTTATTATGGTCATGTATGTGAATGGTTAATATGGCTTCACCATGTCCAATTGTTTATCATGTGGATTTAACTTTGTTGACTGCCACAGCAATTGATCACCCCGGAAGTCACACAAGAAACACTAGTCAGTAATGTAAATCTGTTGACTTTTAACATAATTGATTGGTGTCCTCTTGTTAGATTTTCATCATGAATGGTACTAGAATCAAAATTAATTAAACCCTTTTGGATGCTAAACGTTTATGTATGTTAGTCTTTGATTTATCATAAAAAGATAGGTAAATAATATCAGAACATCAAACTTAACCTATATAAAATAGGGGTTTCTATTGTGTGAAAGCATCATATATACCCTGCTAAATGTTTATGCTGCTTAAAAGTCAAACATTGAATGACTGTTCTGTTTTTTATATACAGCAATTTGTGCTTTCATTTGTAATGAAAACTTTGTATTTTCAACTTCTTATAATGAGCCGATCCCCCTCTAAAAAATTGACTGTTGAGCCTTCCACCTTTAATTGCTTGAGACTTCTGACTATAAAAAGTCAAAACTAGCGCGAACTACTAAAGAAATCGGTTCACCAAGTATTTTCCCTCTGCTCCTTTGTGGTTTGGGTTTTAAGAAAATATCTTGTACAAGTCTTTCAAAGGATAAATAGATCTTTGACACGCACTCACGAGGATAGAAATGCTTCTGATTTTGCTTTATTTAAAAGAAAGCTAAATAAATAAATTGCCTACTGCCAATCAACTATAAAAGGCTCGTTCCCTTTCAAAATGCTTCTGGTTTTTGTTGCTTCAGTTGCCAAATCTTAAATGCACTTTTACCAGGAAACATCTAATGGGCAGTTAAAGTAATTTTTTCTCAGTCATTGTTACAATGCTGTGATGCTAACTCAGATGGGAGTTTGTGAGTTTACATACCCATTCATTTTGAAACTTGAAAGTATAATATGAATGATATATTTCATATAGGTGCGGTGGTAGAGGCAAAACCTCAACTAATTGGGATTCATGAGCGTGTAAGAAGTGACATCGATGGTAGCCAACCACCAACATCAGCTACCTCAGGCACATCAGAAGGAGGCAAGCGGGTGCCAACTGCAACAAATCCTAATGCTGAAGATGCTGCAGAACTTTTAAGGTATGCATGTTGCATTATTCCTTAGTAAGTAGAGCCCTGTCTGTAGAGTGTTCACAAAGCCCCTTTGTAAGCTCAGGTAGTTGTTGGAAATAATAATAGTGAATGCACTTTGGAAATAGTATGTTCTTGATAAAATACAATAATGTTCGTGGGTATAGTTTGGCTGCACCCGTTTAATATTCGTCTAGCTCCTATGAAATAGTCTTCACCAAGTCCATCAAGACTCGAGAGTATGTATATATGGATGATATGTAGAACCTAAGTACTGCATTTCCTTGAATAAGAAAGCATGAGTATTATTCAGTTCTATACTCCTCTAAATTCAACATGGGCATTAATATTATCTTGGAAAAAAGTGTTAATGACATGAACTTTCAAATAGATAATAGTAATAACTAGAAAGTATTCTCTGCAGAATGTGCTTGCAGTGTGGGATTCCCAAGACCTACTCCAGTGCTCGTGGAATGGTGTGCCCTGTATGTGGTGATCGCCCTCCAAATGATACCAGCACAGAGTCCAAGAAGAAAGGATCAACAGTCAAAGATAAGGAAAAGTCTAAAAGAATGAAGGGCCAATCATCTCATGCAACCTGGAAAAGTGAGACAGAGATGCAACTTAGGCAACAGTTTGATTAGAATTATCTGTGTTCCCTTGTAAGTTAGGTTACCAGTTACCTGGTATATATAATTTGATTTGTTCAGGACTATGATTTTAAATCCACAAACTTCCATGTTAACAACACCAAAACAAAACAAGTGCAAGTTGCTACATATGACTCTATAATTACGCTATTACATAATTAGCTTTAAGTTATATTTTTGTACGGTAAAAGAGAAATAAAAACAAGAGTTCCAAATGTCGAATTTGGCTAAACTGCTGAATTTTTACTGTGTTAGATTAAGTAAAATATATTTTGTTTTATTTAATCATTAATCAATTATTTGTAAAAAAAATACATATTAGCACTTATTAGTATAGCATACGAGAGACTTAGCATCATAAATTCAACTAAAAAAGTAAAATTTTAAGATGCCACTGGTTTTTATGTGTTTCAACCAAGAATTATTGTTCGGTATCTTCGAATAGCTTAAAGAAAAAGCCCTAAAAATATGTAGGTGATAATTTTCTTAATAGCTTTAAGAAATATTAAAATATCATTTTTTATCAAATAATATATTAAAAATCGGACCGTCCTCCTTTTCTTCAACAAATATTGAGATTGTTACTTCGTTAGAATAGAATAAAATTATGAAACTTGTTTGGTGTGTGATCCTTGCATGTTTTGGGCATCTAATTCTATACCAGGAAGAGATTATCATCATTTAACCTTTGTTTGCATCTATCAATCTACTCTTTAAATAAACGACAGGACAAAGAAATGTAAAGAAAGAAAGTTTGGATACAGAATTGATTTTGTTTTAACAAATAATCGATCATGTTGATCCCATTATTACTTGCTTCCGTGTGAAAAAAATAGTATTTAAAGGGAATGAGAATAAAATCGCACTGGTCATGTATTGAAGAAATGGAAGAAGTGAATAATGACAGAATGGATGCATGTCATGATAATCATTTATATAAATGCTTAAAATTAATAAAATAAAAAATTATATGTTTAATAATTTAAAATTATATAAAAAATAATTACAATGTATTTTTTTAAATTAAATTTCTACAGTTTTAATATTACTTATAAATTATTATAAAAATAAAATAAAGTTTAAATATATTTATAATTTATATATAAATTATATTTATTTATGTAAATTTTTATTTATTTTTTAAAATAATTACTTTAAATTAAATCATATTTTAATTTATATTTATATTTATTAATATTTATAATAAAAAAATTATCATTCATATTTTATCTTCTTATTTAATTTTTTTAATCAATCAAATCAATCTTATTTTCTATAATCTTTTTTTTTCATATTTTACTTACTTCACTTTCCATTTATCCAATCTCCCTTTCTATTTTTATTTTTTTTTCTTTCTCTTCTTTTACACCCTCTCAAATCATCTTTACAATTCAAACACAAACTTAAAAATAAATTAATTTGGTCTATTTTACAAGTATAAATTAATTATTTTATATGAACATTTTTATGACATATATGATTGTTTTTAATTTTCCAAAAAAAAAAAGCATATTTGTCCCACTTTTTCTTTTCGAAAATTAATTTTAATATTTATAGTTTAAAATTGATTAATTTAATTTTCTAATTTTTGAAAGAACGTGATTTTTTTTTATATTTAAATTTAATATTTAATTATTATTTTTCGTCTCGATAAAAGAATTAAATATGATTTTAATCATTATTTATATTACATTTGATATTTACTAATACTTTTTACTATTTTAAAATTTATAAAATAATTAAATTTATATTTTAACTTTAAATATTAATTTATAAAAATTTAAAATTTAAGAACAACAATCAATTTCATTTAAAATACAAGAAAAAAAAACATATTTATCCTTATAAAAATCTATATTCTTAAATTTATTATCACTATCTTGAAATAATTATTATTTTAGTGTATTTTGCAAGTTATATGTCTTATTCAAGAAGAAAACTTTTTTTTTTCAGTTCTATTCTTCCCTTCATATTTTCATTTGGGAGATGAATTATTAATAATAGGTTAGATCAGAAGAAGGATAGTTTAGTACTATAATCAACTTTTATTTTCTAGAGTTTAGGATAATTATTGCTTAGTTTCTTTTTATTCTTTCTTCATAAGACAATAATTTCAAAATCCTCGTTACGAATTATGTTAATGAATGAAGCAAAATTAAGCAAATCGATGTAAACAACTTTTAAGATGAAAGAGAGTTCATACGAAATACATGCGTTCTTCCTCTCCTTTCTACTAAGAAACATTCACTGTCCAGTAATACCAATAAAATGATTTTTCTATACTTTTTGTAAATATATTTTCAATGATATCTACATTAAAGTATTAAAACTCTTGTAGAAAAAAATAGTTGCCAACAAATACATGTGGTACACTTGGTGTCTCGCATCGTAAAAAGTAGTTGCAGAATATTTAAAGTAAATGGGTTAATAGAAGGTAAAAATAATGCAAATTTGATGAATTAAAACGATGAAACGAGGTGAAGGAAACGAGGGGGACTAAAGAGGGAAATCATTATTCAAAATTCTCTTCTTGGTAGTGAAGGAGGTGAGGTGGGAGAAGGTCTTAGGGGAGTTCTTTATTAGGTCAACTATTTTATTTTGTAAGATATCCTGATTAAGGAGAATCTAACTTTTGCACCAATTTGTGGAATCTTGTTTGGAGGCTAGCTTTGGGGAGAATTGCAACTATAGAAAATCTTATTCAAGGGATTATCTTGTGTGAGCTAATAGAGAAAACAGTTAATCACTTATTCTTTTAGCTAATTTCATTCAAGTCCTTCGTATCTTGATGTTCAATCTAGTGTGCGTGACCTATATGTTGTCGTAAAGCATTAATACATGAGGTGCATTTGAGGAAACAAACCTTCCTTGATTCTATTCACCATGTTTTTTATGTTATGTAGGTTTAGTTTGATTTTTTCTTGTTTTTATTGCCTCTGCAGTATGTTTTATACGAAAGTATAGAGTTTGGTCAAGTTATGTTTTTTCGTCCTGGAGTAGAAAAATAGTTGTTATAAAATATTATTATTACCGTGATAAATAAATAAATAATTAAAGTTTTTAATGACAATCATAATCATATGAATTATCGTTAAGATAATTTTGAAATTAATTATAACTTTTCAATTATGATTTTATTTAAATCATTGTCATATATTTATATTTTTTAATGATTATTTTTTTATAATTATCATGTTACAAATGATAATAATTATAAAAATAAATGTTATTATAAGTCTAAAATAATTGTTGTCATATATTTTTCTATATTTTTTAATTTTTTAATTTTATTCATTTCTTATTTGCGCTTCCGTCTCTTTTCATTTTTATTATCTTCTTCTTTTGTCGATTCTCTTTGTACTTATCTCTGTTGCAATATATTTTTCCTCCTCCTCTCCCTCAATCGCAAAGTGTCTCTACTTCTGCAATGAATTCCTCATACACATTTGACACCTCTAGGACAGAGACTAATAAGGAAAAGTGAGCTTTCAACAAAAAAACAATTTATATTACGATAGGAAAACTTCCATTAGATGAGTTGACATCATAGTTGTTGGAGGTGGAGGATGAGCTAAAGAATTCCACTGGAAATGTACTAAGTGTGGATGTTAAAACTATTGTCTATTGAGAAATCTAACTATGAGTCTAAGTTTTTCATTATATAAGAATAAAAAAGTTGAACAATATATAAGAAAGAAATAATTGCAACTCAATGTCTTAAAATTTTGATTTGAAGATAGTGTCAATTTCTTATATGGGTTATGCTTATGTCTCATTAGTGTTGTTCTCTGATATATTGTTAGAAATCAAAGTATGATTTTAAGTCTCATATTATGTAATAATGAGAAAGTTGAACAATAATACATATAATGACTAATAATACATATAATGACTAATAATAGGTTCATATCTTATTGGAGCGTCACGATTCGATTGTAGTCCAATTGTGAAAGTTTATAGATTTATTATGACGGAACAATAAAAAAAATGAATAGATCAATAATATTTTTGACATACGATATAATTATATTTATAATTACTAGTAACTAATAATAATAAATTAAAATATAATTATTTTAAAATCATCATTGTATATGTATTTTAAATCATCAGAGAATAATTTATATATAATATATAGTAATAGTAATTTGGAGATACATACTTATCAACTTTTCCTTGGTAATAAAAAATTATGAAACATGTATGTAATATTATACAAAACATAATATTTTATAGATTAAACATATATATCACTTTTCTAAAAGTAATACTAAAAATAATGTTAAAACTTAAAACACTTTCGAAAAGTTGGTGAATGGATATTTACCCTTCCTAACATGCTAGTGAGATTCTTAAATGTCTGGTACGCACATATGTTAATTTAACTCCAAAAACAACATACAATCAAAAAAATGTATTTAGAAATTTTAATAAGTAATTATACAATTTATTTTTATAATTTATTTTAAATAATATTTTATTATTTTCAATAATAATTTTATCTTTTTTTCAATTATTAGTCCACTTTTGTTATTAATTTAAGAATAGTATTATTTTTAGAATTTATTTATAATTTAATTTTTAATATATTTATTATGAAATTAAAATACCCCAAAAATATAAATATATAATTTATGAAGCATATATAATGTATCTTAAAACCTCCCTTATGTATACATAATTCATTTATATATATATATATATAAAAAATTCAAAAGAAAAGTCAAATGCATATAATATATCTCTCCAAATATTATTCCATGATTAACCATGATAAATATACTATTTGCATCGTTAGTTTCTTACAAAGACACAATCATCCTCATAAACAAATATAAAATAAGATAAACTAGTAATTAAATTTGAATCATAACATTTGAATTTATGAATTCATTCGTACAAAATATAATTCATTGAAAACATGCTTAAACCATTTTGAAATATTGTATATAAAAGCAATCAATCCAATCCCTACAAAACAACTCTAGTAACCAAGTCACTCTACTACTTCGAGGTTCTATGGAATTGAAAAGCTAATTTTTCTTACCATTTTTTTTATTTCTCCTTGTTCAAGCTCTTAAGCTAGTGTCCAAATCAAACAAGAAGTTCAACTCTAATATAACAAATTGAATACATTATAATCATCATGAGAAAAATGAGAAAAATCATATGCAAAAGCATTAGATCCACGTGCAAAATATTATAAAAAATAAGTTTAAATAACAATTTTTTACTAGACACAAATTTTCGTCTAATTCAATCTTAGAACACTAATAAGTGTTTCAATCTAAAGAAAAATAGTGAGAAGTGAGAAAATCTAGAGAGATATAAAAGTGTTTTTAGTTATAAAGAAATAATAATTTTAAGTAAATAAAAATTAAAAAGTAAAATTTTTTTATTTATAACTTTTTAAAATTAAATTATAAAATATTCATTTCCCATTTGACTTAATCACTTCTATTATTAGACTTAAATGAATTTGGTCATTACAAAAATTATATATAATTATAATTTTAATTGATTGTAGTATAATTTATTTTTTAGATAACACAAATAATTATTTTATTTTTAAAAATAAAAATTATTAAATATAATTATATTTTTTAAATTATTTATTATAATATATTAAAAATTATATACAATATGAAAATAATAATTACTACTATTTTCAAAGACCAAAATCGCGAATGAAGAAAAAGAGAGATTAAAGTTTAATATAACCAGTTATATTTTTTCTTTTAAATATTTATGTCCTATATACTATATAAATGTTATTTCGCTTATTCTTCTACCAAATAATGTAAATAGTAATTTTATTTTCTAATTCTTTCTTTCTTTCTTTTTTTTTACTTTTTTTACTCTTTTTTTCTTAAAAACGTGTCCCTAGAATGGAAACAAATATAATTTGCATTATTAAGAAGTAAAAGAATAAAAATTATTATGAGCCTCACATTTAAATTATTTAAAATTTAAAAAATTGCTTAATTAAGTTTTAAACAACTCATTTATCAGAATAGTAATAAAATATTTATATTTATTTCTATGCAAATCTTACTAATAATTTTCTTTGGTGATGTTCAATGTCTCATTAATAAGGGATTTGCATCCTTTATTCACAGTAAACACGATCCATTATCAAATAATTTGTATTTATTATATATATTTTTAGATAAACTTGAAGTATTTATTGTACTTTTATTTAATATAGCATTAAAATAAAAATTAATACATCAATTATCCACTAAATTAAACTTTTATTATTATATTGTTTTAATTAATAGATTTAATAATAAAATAATATATAAATGCGATTTATCTTGAAGTTTGTAAATATCATTGATAATAATTTGTTGCAATAAAATGCAAAAATATTTACATGATTCTTTTGAAATAATTATTATTTTTTTATTTCAAAATTATTTTATTGAATGTTTCCTTTATATTTGTTATAATATTATTGTTAAAATTAATTATTATGTCTAAAGTATTGTTTATTTTAAAATTATTTTTTCATAATTTTATTTTTAAAAGATGTTTCCGTGAGTTTAGAGATAAGAATATACAAATTATCCTGAATCCCAATGATATAAGCAAAACATAACATTCTACTTAAAAATTAAAGATAATATTGAAACGAAACTTTGTTGACCATAAATGCTAATTGTTATGATTTTTTTAAAATATTTTTATCATTTATAATTTATCTTTAATATTTATTTATTTCATTCTAGAATTAATAATAAATATTTAGATAGGAATATAATTTAGGAATGTTTTGTAATTTGGTAAAGCAATTACTTTTATTGAAACTGTTACGAGTTGTGAAAGGAAATAACCTAACCTATCATCTAATAGTGGAAACATGTTTCTTACCAAAAGAAAAAAAAAAAAAAAGATAGAGCAACAAATTTAGGTAGACTCACAAACTTCCATAGTCTGATATATTTATAGAAAAATTAATAAGTGCTACTACCTCCTACAAAAATCATTTTTATCTTCATACAATATAAGTTAGAAAAAAGTATTTTAAAATTATAAGATATAAAGATTCTCATGGATATAAACTCATGAGTTATTTATTATTTATTAGACTCTTAGTTAAGTAATATTTGTTTTTAGTATAAATCAACTTTAAATAGGTTTGGAAATGATGGACATAATTTTTTATCATATTATTATTGAAATATAATCTATGTATATATCATGGTCCATGATTCTGTATTTGATTTTTTTTATTGCAGTATTATGAGAACATATTATTTGTTTTTTTATTAGTATTATGAGAAAATATTACCGGAAAAACAGCCCGTTGGTTTGTGTTTTTATTTAAAAATTAATGTGTTTTATTATTTTTATCATTTATTTTATATTTGAGAGAAAAAACTATTAAAAGAAATAGAGAAAAAAGATATAACATAAAAGTATTTTGTTTCTCTTAAAAAACAGTTAAAAAAATAATATAGATTCCATTTTTTTTCTAACCTACACCTTTAAAAGAAAATTGTTTAAAAATATTATTAATATAGAGTTTATAACTAAGTGATCAACATTAAACATATTTACGAATATGTTAACATATTTTTAATCGTTCCTATTAGTTTAGAGTTGAATTAGAAATGATAAATATTTTATTATTCTTCAACATGATATTAGAGACATAGTGATGGTTGACCGAACTAAATCTAGTAAAAAACCTAACTTTCATAATAAGACATTTTATTCCTTTATTCTAACGATGGGAAATCTTTTAAAAATTTTCTAAGTCTCATTTCATTTAAAAATATAACGAATACACTCAATTATTATTTTTTATGAATTTTAATATATATATATATATATATATATATATATATATATATATATATATATTGTTTACAATGAATCTATATAAACAAAAATAAATACTTTTCCTGTATAATGTGCAGGCTAAAATTCTGCTTAAAGCAAATAAAAAAATTTAACAATTTAAGTTTAGGAATTTTTTTTTTTAAGTTTAAAAAAAATTACTTTGAAAGTATAAGTAAGTAAACGTGAAAAAAAAGGTAAAAGTAAAAGTTTATCTTTAAAGAATTATAAAAAAAATGTATATATAAAAAAGAAAAAAAAATCGTAGTTTCAAAATGATAAAAAGTTATCTAATTTTCTTTTATCGAATCAGTTCTACATGTGATAAGTAAAAAGCAAAATTAATATGATATTTTATTTTTGTCTAGTTTAAGTTAATAAATTAATTTTAATATAAATAAAAATTAAAAAATTATTAATATATTTATATTTAAATAAATAATTAAAAATAAAAATATTTTTTAAAATTTAAAATTATATTAATAAAATTAACTTTTATTTTAAATATATATATATATATATATATATATATATATATATAAATTATAAAAAAATAGATTCTTTCCGTCACAAAATAAATTATATCCTAAAAAAAATTAAATTAAAATAAACTTGATTTAATTTAAATTATAAATTTCTTTAATCTATTCCTTAAATATTTTGATGATCCATTAAATTAAATCTATTTTCACTTCTTAAATACTGTACACACAATTTATTTTACGTAATACGTTCTTTCATAAATTAATAAAAAAAATACTTATTAGTCATGTAAAATGAGAAGCAAATACTGCAATATAATAAATGCATAATTTTTCCTTCATTAAATAGAAGTTTTTAATGATCTTGGGTTAACGATGAGACCAACCATCAAGCAATGGTTTTGTACATATATTTTTGTGACCCATGTGTGATAATGAAGGATTAGAATTTAGAAACCTAACTTAAGAAATAGTAATAATCAATTATTCTATGTCCCATCAGGTTATGGTTGCACTGTTACTCCATTATGTTGTTTCATTAAAAGGTTTAGGTGTGCTCCTTAAATTTTAGCCGAAGAGCCACCCTACTCTGTCCTTTAAAAAATATTGTTTTAGGAAACGGTTCAGAATTTAATAAAATCTTAAGTCATTATATATATAATCACAATTTTAATCGTTTATTTATTGATTAATAACCTAATTTTATTGTATACTATTTTGCTCTAAGGTGCTGAATGCAGTTTAGAGGGGCCAAAATGCCAAATTCAGCCTCCATGTGGAAGAACCAAAGCATGAGATTTTAAAATCATGAACAAATACGAAACATAGTAAGATTAAGATTATTATTGGGAAAGTTCCTTGTAATATATTATACAATAAAAATGCAAATCAGACATTTTTGTCATACTCTTTTTAAATTTATAACTATGATTTTTAATATAATCTTTCTAATCCACAAAAAGTTGTCATGTCTAATCAAGTTCAGCCAAAAGTAAAAGTTGTGTTCAAAAGTGAATGTTAAAGAGTGTTTTGCTAACATTTTTCATCACAAAAAAAAAGAGCAAAAAATCTAAAATTATATACACAATACATTCTCACACAGTGAGAATAGCATAATTAACATGATAATATTACCCAATAAGTTGAAATACAAGAAAATAGTACATGCAAAATTATCTAAAACGTGAACAAAATTTCTGCTCTTTTGTTCTTTCTCTTCCTCTTTTTTCCATAATTAGCTGAGCAGATGGATAAGCACTTACAAACAGCAGACTTTAACTCTTTTGTATGGTTATCAGCATTTTAACTTACAGTTAAATAACCATCCAAAACATATATAAACTGTTGTAGCAGACCTAAACAACAAAAACCCTTCTTGTACAAGGGGAGAATGTACATCATTTCTTCAAAAACTTCTGCGAGAAAATCTTCTTGGAATATGGGCTGTTTCGAGAAATGGCTTTGTGGGACTCAATTGCTTCAACTAGTACATTGTGCACACGACCCTAGATAACAAGGAAAAGACAAAGATAGAAAAGGAAAAAGAAACAAAGAGATACACTAGATCAGCATCAAAACTCAGTGATGAAATGAAGCTCAAAAAACTGCTGCAATATGAGTACAAAAATTATATGCACTGTTTACTAATAATATAAAATAATTGTATTACAACATATTAGTAGATGATAAATTTTTGGCCAAAGAGATAAATTGTGCCAGGATTTTACTCTGACAATTATTCTGTCATTTTCTTTTCAAAAAAGGATTGGAAGAAAATAAGATGGTCATGTTACAAACCTCAGAATATCGAAGAGCTGATTGAACAACATAGTTTGCATGTGGGTCTTGAAGCAAGTGTTCAAAGTGAGGCGTGGACAGCAGCTCCAGAATGACTCTGGATCGATTTTCATCATTCAAAACAGAAAGACATTTTTCAACCACGTGACTACCAAACTTCTGCCTTGACAGGTGCACATAGTTGCCTTCAAATTGCGCCCTTATACATGAGGTGGCAGATGGAATCTTCAAATCCAAGATAAATTGGACAACATAATTTCTGAAGCAGGCAAAAGAAAAGAGTGATGAAAGAGTAAAAAAATTAAAGCATGCTGAAGGCAGTATTTATATCATAATTTCTATATATGACAAGTTGATCAACACAGAATTGGTTCTTTATTGAAAATTAGCAACACACTTGTTAGATGTGAATCCCAAACAGAGGCGAAAGCAGAAAGGTGTACAGAGAAATCAGCTCAGAATCAATACGGAAAAAAGGCTCATAGTTGTTTGAGTGCTTTGTACTATCATCTGATTTACGAATCTCTGACATATTAAAACAGATAACATATGAATTTCAGTTTAACTTTTACCAAAAAAAAATTGTAAAATAGATCTTGCACTTATTTATAATCTTGTTTCCTAGTGTACTATTCACTTCTTCACACTTATAGCAAGGAATGATCTATGTAAAAGAAGGAAATGTAGAACAAAAGATGCTGTGTAATCACCACATTTTCCAATCCCCACTAATCTTGGCCTCCGGTAAAATGGGTTAAAAACATTTATACAAATTGTCAATGGCACTTGACTACAGTTAACGTTCTTAATTCTGGGATGGAAATTAGATATTCTAACCAGATGAAGAAAACCAGTCAAATAAATTTTGTGTTTTATAAACTATTATGAGTCCAATAGTTACCCGTATTGATCTTGAGCTAGCAGAAGTGCATTAGCACATATTTCTCCAATCAGTTTTTCACGATACTCCCCACTTGAATGGCCAATGCATCTTTGCAGAACACAACATCCATGCTGGTGAGTTGCAATGTCAACACAATACTTTGCAGCAGCAACAAATATAAACTGTGGAATGAAAATAACAGGGCCTGTAAGTTATCCAACCAGATATCAAATTGCAAATTTATTCTATATTTCATCACACTTAGGCATGGATCCAGTCAAGAACAATTCAACACCAAAATGGAAAGCACTTCAATCACAGTTCACACGGCCTTTATCCCAGAAACCAAAACATTACAAGCTTATTTCTTTTGCCCCTATTCTGTAATATTGGTCTACTTTAATAACCATGTAGATATTAATTTCAGAATGGACGTAAAGGCCCTTAGAACTTTAATTTTCTAATTTTTTTTAAACGTACTGGGATTTTTTATAGGAGTTAACTTCAAAACCCTTAAGAAGCAGTGTTTCTTCTGACCTAAGCATTAGTGGGTAGAATTGTGTTTGTTTCATAAATCATTGATCAATACAATTTTTTTTTCCAAAACAGAATAGGAATCTTAGAGCAACACAAAACATATATATAAATTTATATTCATTATTAGTTTTGAAGATGAAACTTTTTGCACATTTAACAAGTCCAGAAACTGTACAAAAAGTTCTGTTTCACATTTATATGTGAAATTTTTTTATATGTGCCATTTTTTTAAGTACCATTACTGTTATGGTATCAAAAAGGGTTGCATGTTAAGGAACAAAACATTCCAGAATGAACTGAATATGAAAGAAATTAATGAAGTTCTATTCCACATGAGATTATCAGTTATATCACCAACTATAAAGTTTATAAAACAGAAAACAAGAGTGAGATAAGCATAAAGATTTCTGTTCACTAATAACAATACTATCTACAAGATTATTATCCAATCTATATACTTTATTGAGAAAGATAGAAATCGTGCCTTGTTATCTTCATTGCTCAAACACAGCAAACAGCGCTGAACCACATGGTTTCCATTCAGATCTTTTATGAGAGCCAAGAATCCTGGTTCAAGAGCTGAAACAGCTAATGAAATTTGCTGCCTAGTCCTGAGAGACTCAATTAGCTTCTGTACAACACGAGTGCTGATAAAAGAAAAGGTAAAGAAGTTATGTCAAATTCAATATAACACAACATAAAATATTGCAGTAGTTGTACAAGTTGTGCCATCCGTTACCCATGAGTGTTTAAAGAGATTCTGACAAGCTGGCCAGGTTCTTCAGTAAGGATTAGTAGAATTTGCATCCTCTGCTCTTCATTGCATACATCCAATAACTTCTGCATAAGGTAATTTCCAAAAGGATTCACCATAAGTTCCACTACATGATCAATGATCTCGTTAAATATCACTTGAACATCTTCTGGTGTACCCTCATCAAACATCTTTTGCAAGAACCTACAGCCATGCTGATCCTTAGCCATTAAATATATATACCCTTGAGCTTCAGCTAGCGAGTTGTATTTGGGCACCAAAGGAAAGGAGCAACCTATCCTGGCACCCCTAGGATTGTCAAAATTTCCTACAACCTGGTAAGGCATGTCTAGCTCTGATCTCTTATAATGACTAGCAAAGCCAGTGTGTCGTACTGCCGACTTACTATGATACATAGAACGATTGTAATCTCTGCCAGCAACATAATTTACACCTTCACCTTGTATGATGAAGCTCCCCTCACTTGCAATCGCATCTATATTTCCTTGAGGAATTCTAGCATTTGTAAGAGGCACAGGTCTTGCATTATTAGGCAGAGAATGGCTATACTGCAGTAAATCCTGAACAGCCAAATAAGGCCTTAAATTATGACTGCGGGGAGAGCTAGGCAATCTTGACATGCCTGCTTCTTCAGCTAAATTTATTCCATTTTTTTGTGCATAAAGTAAAGCATCAACAACTGGATTTCTGCTCAAAGAAGAACTGTACTCCCGTGGCTGGCTTCCACTTCCTCCACAATAGTAGTTATTCATCGGCTGCCTTGTATGATGATGATATGGAGGCTCCATTGAACAACTAAAGTCATTAAATTGAGAAAGCATTGTCTCAGTCCTTTCGGCACAGTATCTTGATCCAAATAAATTAGGCATTCCATAGTTCCGGGTCAACCCGGACATCGCCAAATTCATTTCACCGTCATAACTTACAGGACTCCTCCAGGGATTAGGGGATTGAACCCCAACACAATCCAAAGAACCTCTCCTGAAACTGTAATGCCCCCCATGTGGGTGAACATTGCTTGGACCATTTCCACTGAAGGGACATTCAGGAAATAATTGCCTATTCATGGCCATTGAGGAATAACAAGGCCTCTCTTGTTGATTGCTGATGTACATTTGGCTCAAATTGGCACACAGGCCAAATTCATCAACAAAACCTCCACTGGCATTATTGAAAACAGTTGAATCAGGTGTGACGAAACGGTTATTAGGGTAAGAAGAAGAACCTCCGGAAGGAATGGTGGATTTAAGATCCTCCAATGGAGGAGGCGTTGGTGATCCAGTGTCAGACAAAGCATGGACAGACGAGAACAAGCTTGAGGAAGAGCCATCAGATTGCAGAGAAAAACCACTCACAGGAGTTGAGACACATGGATACTGAATCTGACTGAATAGATCATCATCACACACACCACACTTTCCATTAGACACAACAGAACCATGACGATGATGATCATCACCATGATAAACATCATGTGATTTCCCATGGTAAAGATTGTTTGATGTTGCCTGAGGGATCTCATTCAGCAACATCTCAAGCTCCTCAAGCCCCCCATCGTCCTTCACGCTCTCCAACATCTCTTTCCCCATCACAGCGCTTTCACACGCTAACAACCAGTGACAGAACACAACAAAAAAAATAAAAATAAAAACAGAACAAAAAACAACAACAGACCAAACTCACGCACAAAAATCAAAAGAGTCCATGAATCAAAAACCCCATTTCAGATATCGATTAAAAGAGAGTGAAAAACACAATCCCATAAGAAATTACTAGTCTTGGTCATCTAGATTGGGCTCAGTGATTGAAAAAACTGAAAAAGTTGGGTCCTTTATTACGAAGAGAATTGACATTGTATCTTCATCTGCATTTTGAGGAAATCATATTATTTGGGTAATGGGTATTGTCTGAGGAGAGTTGGTGAAGCATGCAAATATTGAAGATTTACATGCGGTCACTGGGAACCGTAGGCGTACACACTCAGCGTAGTCTCACAGGCCATTAAAGCTGAAGCAAGAACAGACGCTACGGGCTTTCTATATTTATATTGAGAATATTTAATTGGAATATATTTATTTATAGCATAAAAATCACGAATTATTGATGATTTTTACTATATTTAAAAAATTATATTCTAGATGATTAGTTCGTCTGGTGGAGTAAAAATATTTTCAAATATATTGATACCCTAAATTATTTTTAGGCTATAAATCAATTAAATTGTTTCAAATATAATTTTTTAAATTACTTTTTATGAAACTCAATTTTTATGATATGATGATAATATATAAACGGATGATAATTTGTTTTTTACATATTATTATCATTGTATTTCAAATAAAGTATATTTTGTTATTTTTGGTCTTTTAAAATACATGGAAGGTACATTTTGTTAAATGTTTATTTTACAAAATCAAAGGAATACAACAAAATTTTCTTAAAAAGGAAAAATTCCTTGGAAAACATATATTATTACTAAACTATAAATAATCATACCGCCAATTAGTCAATATAAATAAATTTTATAAATTTTTTTTAACTTACATGAGAACATTGAGGGATTTGTTTATAGTAATTATTTAGAACTTTCTACTCTAAATATACATGAAATATGTATTATAATAAATAGAAAAATTTATTTATTTTAATAATTACATACTTTTTATTATTCAATTTTTATAATTAATTGGTAATAACTACCATTATATTATAAAAAAACAATGAATAAGAAAAATAAATTTTAAATTTTTATTCTTAGAATAAATATATCTTTACTACTAATATACTATTTTTTTTATTCATAAAAATTGCTGTGAGTAATTCTAATTAATAATATCTTAAAAATATATTATTCTATCATTAATTTCACCCATTAAGTATGAAATTTATATTAAAGTAATATTCATACGTATTTTTATAAATATAAGCTTATGTAAACTACACTGACAGATACCTAACTTTTTATTAAAAAATAACTGTTGAGACAACGCTAATATATATATATATATATATATATATATATATATATATATATATATATATATATATATAAAACGAGAATAACTTTTATGAGACTATCAAATTATTTCAAATTAAATTATTATATAACTATCAAATCTTTAAATTAATCATTAAATAAAAATCAAAATAAATTTTAATTATTATGTTTATCTTTAATCAATCATATTTTTTATCCCTATTATTATTATTAAAGTTATCCGATGAAAGTTATAATGATGATATCAGTGTTTAAAAATAATTCTAAAAAAAGAGTAACATGATTAAAATATCTTACGATATGATAATTTGATTTTTTTTATAGATATATTTAATTTAATAAATCTTATAGATATGATGATTATACAATATTTTAATTTAAAATTTTAAGTATTTTATTCAAGATTATTATCCAATTTAACTTAACAGTTAAGATTAGCCAATTAAAAAATTATTTTCATGTAATATTTTAAGTATATATATATACAATGAAACTATATCTTGAGCTCAATATTTTCCATAACATTAATAAATTTGTATTTTAATAATGAGATTATATAATTTATTTATTTACATGAAAATAAGTTTAAAGAAATACGATGATATATTAAAAAATATTTGATAAATTTTTATTTAAAATATTTAACAAATTTTTAATATTTTATAATAATGAAATAAAATAATTAATTAAAATAAATTTTAATATTATCATTTTAGTTTGATTAAAAAATTATATTAAATTAAGATTAATTGAATCAAAATATATATTTAATTTTTATGTTTAATTTGAGTAATGATGTATATATGCTAAAAGAAAAATACATTTATTGTTTTAAAGTCTTCAACTCAACACTAACTTACATAAACCTTTTCTAATACTATATATAATTCCTGGTCCTATAAATTTATTAAATACACATAAATATAATTTTTTATTTTTTACGAATTGTATACGTTGGATTATCTAAATTTCAAATTCTCATCTCTTAAAAAAAATATATATATATATATATAATTTTGACATAATTTTAATTTTGTAGATATGTTATCTAATAATAAATTATACGTATTTTAAAATTAACTGTCAAAATAAAATTACATAATAAAAATTTATTAAAATTTGTATTTTATTAAAAAGTTATTAAAAAATTAATTTCATTAACTTTGAATTCTAATATATATACACAGATCATTATACCGTACCATATAGTCATTGTCATAACAACAATAATTACAGTGGACGAATTTTCATAATTATTAAAATTCAATTTAAGATTTTAAATTAAATATAAAAATATAAATTGAAATAGACACGTAGACAAGAAAATTAAATATGAGAATAAAGATAAAAGAATGATGGTTTTAGATAATTAGGAGGTAATATTTTAAATTAACTTTTAAATTAAATAAGAATTTTAGTGTTTTAGAAATTAGAATTTAAGAAAGTTTTTTCTTTTTCTCTGGTAGAGTATATTATTTTTTAAATAATATCTCTAGAAAAAATTGTATTACGGTGGTTTCTCTTTCTATGCTTCCCGCAGACAATTTTCATGGGAAAGTTAAAAATCTAACTTTTATAAGTCAAAAGATAAAAGTTGTCATATTATAAGATAATTTACTATGGTACAAGTTTAAAATAAAAAATATAAAAGTTATAAGAAGTTAAAAAATAACTTTTAACATTTTTATCAAACTTTGTCATGCTGGTGTAGTAAATAAAGGAAGTTGTGAAGAAAAAAATAATTAAATATAATGGAAAATATTATTATCTGTTTAAGAGAAAAGTGATATTAAAAAGTGGAAAAATGTTTATTTTAGAAAATTAAAATTTAAAAATATATTTAATTATAAAATTATTTATATAATTATTAATAATTTTATATTAATAAAATAATTTTTAGAATAATAATTTTAAATTATATATTTCATCTCTTTTAATAATATATTTAATATATAATTATAAGATATATTTTTTTAATTTTTTAAAAATTAAATTAATAAATTAATATTATATTATATTATAAATAAATGTATAAAATTAGTAGTTTATTTTTTATAATCACTTAAAATAATAGTTAAAGTTATATTTATATATTATAAACTTAAAAATAATAATAATTTTGTAAAATAACTTTTTTTGTTTATATATAAAAGAAAAGTAAACATATTCGTTAAAATAAAAAATAAATAATTTTTTTTATATATTTCCTAATATGCGGTCACTCTTCATTGTGTATTCCTTCAGCAAAAGAAACAAATCTTAAAATAGGAAAACAAAGTTTATAAATAAAATATATAATGTTTTTAATATTATGTTTTTCAATAATTTTGTAACTAACTATCCTCAATTTGGTATTCCGAAGAATATAAAAAATAACTGGTCTCATAACTTATCTTGCCGTTGAGTTCCAGGAGAAGAACAATTCACCGAAATTGGGTGGAAAATTTGCTTTTGTATATGCTTAAGCTAACTGTTTTGGTAGATTTTTAATGCTTAAACAAATTACACAGATAAAAAATGATTTCTCAATAAATAGAAGTTTTTAATTTCTTAGTTCATAATTATAAAAATTAAATTTCTATTATAAATTTATCTTTTAAATATATATATAGAGAGAGGGGGTAAGAGATGAATTAGTAGTATAAGATATAGTAGTTTAATTAAATGGAAAATTAATATTTTATTTGTCGAATAAAAAATTATACATAATTTTTTATTATTTAATCTTTATTTATATAAATTTGTCATCTTTGAAAACTTGTAATTGTTATTTTCATTTTAAGATTCTTTTGGAGTTTTTTCTTTTTTTCAATATTAAATTATGTCTTATGAAATTGGTAGAAAGTTGAACATTCTCAAACCATTAATATTTAAATAAAATAATTTTATTTTCTTTGATATATCTAAGTTGGGTGGTTGAATGTGACTCTCAAACTCATTCATGTGTATATTTTTGAGAAAAAATGAATCTATATTAGTTTAGGTTATTGAAGTTTTTTTAGTAAGTTTAGGTATATTGTGTAGAGTTTCTTTTTTGGAATTTTAATTTGATAGCTAGATTTATAAATTAGTAAACTATTTGTTTAAATTTAATTATAATATTTTAAATTAAAACATTAATATTGTCGTTAATAAGAATTATATTTTGTGTACAAACATAAAGAACTTGAGCTAAGAATTAGTAGTTGAATTTTATAAATTGTATGAATAATAATTTTATAAATTATGAAGAATTTAGAATTAAAAGTGATGTTGAATTTTATGAATTGTATCTAAATCTAAAGAATGTATTGTAATAATTGTTGCAATTAAAATTATTTGAATTTGTATTATTAAATAGATTATTTGATTAGGATTGGAACTATTTAATGTAGTATGAAAAAAAGTTAATGTGAATAACTTTTATAATTTATATATTTATTTATAATTGTGATAATTATATAATATTACACATAATAAAATTAATAATAAATTGAATAATGATATAAAAAATAGTTACTTTTTCTTGCTAGACGAATATATATTTTTATGAAAAAGGAGAATTTACATATAACATTTTAATATTATCAAGCAATAAGTTTATATGAAAAT